CCAGGCCGCGTGCAGGTCGCGCCAGGCCAGCCAGACCGGTGCCCGGGTGGGACACCAACTTGGTAAGTTGTTTGCCTGGGTGTTTGCCTAGTTGTCACAAGGTGCCACGTGTTGCAATTTCACTAGAGGGCCAAATCTGCCCTCATCAGGTAAACTTACTGACTTTAAAATGGGATTTAAATTAATGAAAATAAATATTAAACTAATAAGTTTGCATGATCTTATATTATTTTTTCTTTAATTTTTAGTTTTATTATTTTTAGATAATGTTGTACTAATTTTAAATGCATTTTGAATAGATATTAATTTTAAAAAGACACTATAAGTAAAAACTACTTTTTCTTAATTTTATTTTATATCAAATTTAAATGGATTTATAATTATAGTTTTATCAATAATAGACATTAATAATTATTTTTATTATATTTAATTAATATTTATTATTTTAAATGGAACGTAAATTGAATGTATTTTTTAATTTTATTAATTTATTTTAAAATTTCGATTGAATATTATAAAAATTGACTATTTTTTCATTAATACTTCTTATTATGTAAAAATAAATTTTTGTCAATAACTTTCCATTTTTATTTAGTGGATTTCAGTTTATTAATAATTATAAATTTATAATTATGTGGTAGTGCATAAGTGGATGTTGAATTATACCTTTTAAGTTTACTTGTAATTATAGCCGATCCCATATATTTGGGATAAGGCATAGATGATGATGAAGTTTACTTGTAATTGTATTTATTTGGAAATGGAATTTGTGTTATTTTAGACAACTCTATTGGTTGGACTTTAAGAAGTGACAATCTTCTAATTCATTTTCTTAGAGTTAGATGATTTTGTTGTTTTTAGGGGTAYTCAGTGTTTCTGTATATTTGTTATGGGCTGAATCCCCTCTTGCATAACTTTATCAGGGGTAAGGTTTTATACCCCCCCCCCCCCCAGATGTTTGGGGTCTAAAAAGAATTTTTATGGGTTATAATTAATTGGTATTTAGAATTTCAGATATTGATAATTTTGTTGTTAAGTGAAGGAAATATTATTTATTCTGATTTGGAATTAACTTAAAAATTAATTATTTTATATATGGAACTAGATTATTTAGCCTTATAATCTGCCATTTATTATTAATAATGTTATAAATTATAATCAAATTGAATTTATTTTTTTATCATGAAATAGATAATAATTATAATTTAATTTAATTATGTTATAAATTGTAATTAGATGGGATTTTATTTTTATTATATTTATTATTAAATGCCAGCATATGGAATGGATATAAAATCATAATCAATTGAAATGGATACAGATATAGTTGTATAATAATGAAAAATAACAAATATTCAGAAAACCAGAAACAAGATAAATATGCAAGGAGAAGGGACAGCACACCTAACGTGGACAACATTGTGTGTGTATGTGATGCATGACACTGGAAGAACTCTGACTAATCACCAACTCTGTTAATGAATACAAGATGATTGATTACCACTTTCATGATGCCGAATGATTTGATTGTAGTTTTTCAGGTATTCTGCCTTCCCAGTATCGTAGTTGAACATATAAATATATATATTGGTATACAGCATGATGAATATATAATACTATAGACGTGATTAACTTTTTATTAAGCTTTCTATGTATATATGCATGTAATATATTTATGTATGTACATAGATATCATATATAATTACATAAAGTTTATAGTTAAAATCCAATTTTTTATATTTTTAATTTTTCTTTATTTGTTAAAAAACTTTTGAACTTTTTAACATCACTCATGCATCAAATGGGTCTCTGCCTAAGTTTCAGTAACTATGAACTTCCCATTCGTTTGAGCCTAATTGTCCCTCTTCTCAAGGTTCAAATGATCCCTTTCTGCCAGAATCTGGAAGTACTCTTGTACTCTAGTTTCAACTCCAAGAAAGAAACCCCCTAATTTTCTACTCTGTGCTACTTATTTAGATATTATCTCCTTCCTCTCTATTTCAGGCTCAACACTTCTCACTCTGTCAAACTGAGCTTGTTTTACCTGTTCCTGTGGCTGTTGCTCAATGTTGACATCAACAGTGTTCTTTTCCTCTCCTACGACTATCCCTACAACTTCCACCTAAGCCCCTGGAGATATCTTACCTTAGACTCTGTACCATAGACATTAATAAGGTTTTCTTTGTTATTGATAAGAAAGAAGTTTCTATTTTATCTTATTCTTCTCAAAAAAAATCTACTTTATCTTGTTCATAATTTGCTATTTGGTGGGTATTGTAATTCTTTTCATACGGCAGCATGTTTTATATCTATTAAAAAGCTGAATTTGGAGGAAAGAGAGTAATAAGCTGAATTTGGAAGAAAGACGGTAATAAATTGATACTATGCCTGGAACTTTACTTCTTTTGTACCACTGCAATGTCAAAGAAGTAAACTTGACTTTCATTAATTCCTTAGAATGTAGATCAAGATATTATCCATGGATCTACAAATATAACAAATTAATGATCATGTTAAAACCTGGTCATTAGGGAGTATAGTTCATTATAGTTACAAGGACCTTGGAAAGTCTGTTACAATTTCCAGTGGGATAGTTCCTTCACTGTTTCACATAATGTTGGCCCAAGAATTACTGAAATTCAGCTTACCTTGTTGTTTTGTTTTATGACAGCCAGAATGTTCTGCTTTATTAGATGCCCTCGAACGTTCTGCTTGCCAACCTGAGATTTCTAGTATTCTTTTGAAGAGTCTGCATCGTATATTACAAGTGGCATCTGAGCAGACCATTTCTTCTTTTAAGACACTGGATGCAATTTCTCGGGTGCTGAAAATTGCCTGTATTCAAGCCCAAGAATTCAAATGTTCTGACAATGTAATTCCTAAAGAGGGTGAGGATGATGGAGGCATTCTGTCTGGGAATTGGCAGAGAAAAAGTACAGCTGATACATCTGAAATATGGCTTAAATGCCTGGAGGCATCCTTAGAGCTCTTTACTGAATACCTGTCAATAGCTGATGATGCAAAGAGTGGGGTTTTGCATAATCCAACATGCATCGATTGTCTGTTTGATTTATTCTGGAAAAGAAGTTTGAGAAAGCATGTATTGAGACTTATTCTTGACCTAATGATGGTAATGCCTTATTAGTACCATCTGGTTTTTGGTTTTTCTTACATGCATAAGCAATGGAAATGAAAGACTTCCAACCTTTTCCTTTGTCTAATGATCATTTTGTGCAGCTACCACTGTCTTCTGAAAAAGATGATACGGCAAAGTTGCAGCTATGCTCTAAGTACTTGCAAACATTTGCTAGTGTAAGGGAAAGGGAAAAGAACTTTGCAGAATTATCAATTGATCTATTGGTTGGTATAAGAGAGATGCTTCTAACTGATCTAGTGGTATGCTTCTGAGGTTTTGCTCTTCCTAGAGTTTTATATATTATAATTCTGTGTATTAGATCATTTTGTTGGCAAAGCAACTTATGCTGGGTTTCTTTTTGTTGACCTGATTCTCTATGATTTTTTCTTTTTCAGTATTACCAGGATCTGTTTCGCAAGGGAGAATGCTTTTTGCACATTGTCTCATTGTTAAATGGCAACCTTGATGAGAGGAGTGGAGAGCAATTGGTCCTGAATGTCCTTCATACTTTGACCCATCTGCTTACAGGGAATGACTCATCAAAGGTACCTTGCCTTTTTTTTTTCTCTTCTTTTCATATTCAGAGTTTTAAAGACTATTTTGTATCTTAATAATTTCAGGGACTATTCTTTAATGCTTATGCCATTAACCCTGCCTTCTATACTGCAAAATTGAACAAGTTGTCTGTGTACACATTGGCAAAACATTCAAAGTCTATAATTAATTTTTGTTCTAATTGATATATCTCTCTAGTCTGTCATATTAAGTAAAGATTTGTGGTTGAATGCATTATTAATATCAATATCTCCTCCCCTTCTTTTTATAACTGAGCCCAAAGAATTGGTCCCTAACTGGCCCTTGTTTAGCTAACACATCTGGCAGGCATGCTACAAGCCAATTACACTCATTCAATTTTTATTTGACATTCCTTGTCAGCCTTTTAATTTTCTTGAGTTCATGCCTATAGAACCACAAGGCCTACTCATTATTCAACATCCATCCAATTACAACCTGTGAGTCACCTTCAGTGAGCAGCTTGTTTATATTCATTTCACTAGCATACTGCACTCCTTGCAGCACATCAATATACTTATATCTTCTTGCTTTTCTCCTTGGTAAACAATCTTTTTGTACATAGGCTTTTGGAATATACAATAAATGTTCTTACATTTTTCAAAAAAAAAAAATCTTCTGACTTGGTTGACTCTAAGATTCAGACATTTATGTGCAGTTAAACAGCCCATCTGAAATGTCTCTTCAGCAAAAGCACCTTGATATATTCTTACCACCTTACTAGTCGCAGGTTCAATCTTGATAGCAAAATTTGGTGACTGCCTTATGGTTCTTTTAGATATTTGGTGAATCTCAAAGAATTATTGGAATTATTGATAGAAAGTCACGTTAGTAGATATTTTTTCTTTGTCAATGATTGGCAAAGGACTGTTGATTGCAGATTAATTATTCCTCTTAAGTCCCTCCATTTTTTTAATTATTATGGTTCTTTTAGATTTATTTTCTTGTTTTTATGTCAAGTCAACTTCGGAAGATCCAGCTTCTTTTGTCTCATTTGCAGCTAATTTATAGTTTACAGTGTTGTTAGGATGGTAAATTGCTAGAAATTTTGGTTCTGGCGGTTGGAACTTTTAGGTTTTTTATTGGACTTTCTCCTATCATTCACAACTAGGAATGATCCCCGTACTAAGTACAGGGCAACTACACTTATGTATCATTTTGGTTTTTACTTTTTTTAGCTTTTTATAATAATATTATTTTATTTGTGATTCACTATTTATCATATAATTATATTTAACTTAAATAATCAAATCAGGTTTAATTTATAACTTTAAAGCCTTCATAAGATTTCTACTCAAATTTGGAAATTGAATTACAAAGATTTATATGAGCCGCACATATTTTTAGAGTGGAAGCTTTTTTATGATGGCTATGTACGTAAAGTTAGCATTTATTTAATTTAATATCTAATGATTAATGGCCCATAATTAATTATGTTGTTATTTAACTTATTAATTTAATTAAGTTAGTTTAGTTTTATTAATTAATTAAGTTAAGATCCAGACTCTATAGTGGTGTATTAATTAATGTTCTACTATAACCATGTATTTAAAGGTGCTAGATGAGGCGGCAATAATGGGTTGGGTCTACCATCGTTTAACTATTTAACTGGGTCAAAAAAAAAGGCCCAAATGTATTCATCCTTTTGGCCCACAGACAAAAACAGGTCAGATTAAATGGAGAGAGCTGCAATCAGGCCCCAAATGTGTTCTCTTTTATACCATGAGCTCTTAGTTGGGGGATTCCCTATTTAAGGCAACATGAAATACATAAAACTATAGTTGATTGAAAATTCAGTTTCCCGGTTCATCACTTACATACTATCAGTGTTTCAAACTTGTAGTTTGAATGGGCATGGCAGCACCCAAAAGAGTCTTTGGCAGTAAGGAATAAAGTTGCAAGTTTGAAGTGGCTCTCTATGGTTGCTATACTACCACCGAGTGTTAGATTATAGGCGATTATTAGACTCATAAGCCGTAGCGAGCCATATTTGTATATGGAGACAATAGACAATAGTTGAACTTTTATTGTTACACAACAGTAGACATTCCCAATTTAATACTGACATCTCCACCATCTCATTTACTACTTAATCATTAGTCATATACAACAATTGCAATTAGAAATAAAAACAAAATTGCTAGCGAACTACTGATAAAAAAGAATGCTAACAAACTAAGCCACATTTCTGAGAAGACAACCATACTATCTGTTCATCCATGATGCACTTGTTCTTGTAATTCCTTGTTCATTACCTTTGAAATAGAACAATCATGGAATAAACAGACAAATTGACATTATAGAAAAGGCGATAAAACCAATAGGTAAAGAGAACCCATAAAGGCATAGACGTAATATTAGAAAGAAACGATTTTTAATAGAGTTGCAGAAACATTACAAATATCAATAGCTTACATGGATTTTCAGAAATAAAATATTCTTCATCTAAGGGAGGAGGAAAGAGATAAGAATTAGTTTATATTTGAGTAAAACTGGTTTAGAGTGGGTAACTGATTTTTGAGAGAGAGCCATATATTTAAAATTATCAATTTTCAAGATAGTTTAGCTAACCATTTAAAGTGGGTAACTGTTTTAGGAAATTATCCAGTGAATGGAGTTAACCGGAAAGTGGGTAACTGTTTTAGGAAATTTCCCAGTGAATGGAGTTAACTGGAAAATATTTATTTGAAATTACCAATTTTCAAGAAAGTGTAGTTAAACACTAATACGTTGTTGAGTGGGTATCCAGTGAATGGAGTTAACCCCCCCCCCCNCCCCCCCCCCCCCTTCTTTTTGAGGTGGTTTATGTGTTTTTTTTTTTTGTTTTGATGAATAGTCATGCTTGTGCCATCAAAGTGGATCGAGTTTGTGTTTTAATAAATATTTCCAGGTAGCTTTTCTATTTGAGAGTGGAGTTTAACCAGTTCTAACTCCACAGATGTGTGACACCTGTCTTAAGGTGCTAGTGTCTGAGTAGTAAGACTTGAAGAATTTAAAGTGGAGTTAAGCAGTAATGCTTGTGACGAGTGGGTTGATTCTCTGAAAATGGGAAGAACCCATTTCAAGGTACTGTTAACTGAAGGAAGCCATGTGTTTGAGTTGAGGGCTCTAGTCTGACTACTTTGTATATATATTTAAAGTGGAGTTGCACGTATGAATTTTTTTTTATATTAACTACTTGCATTTTAGATATATCATAGTTAAGATATAAATTGAAAATTAATAAAAGTAATAATATGACTAAAAATAAACTTAAATACTTGTACTAAATGTGCACGTGCAGAAATTTTAAATTATAATAATTATGATGATGATGATAATGATTATTATTATTATTATTATTATTATTATTATTATTGTTACTATTACTATTACTATTATGATGATTATACTTATTTTTATGTACTGTTTCTATCTTAAATAAAAATAATTTTTATTTTAACAATTATTTTTATTTAATATGATGATTATATAACATTAGAAATGCTCCGAAATGTCTTTGACAACTTTATACATTTTTATTTTGTGTTTGGTCTTTTTTTTTAAATATTTATTATTCAATTATGACATCATGAATTTCTTTGAAAAGTTGGATCATTGACACACCATTTAGATAAGAAAATAGCTTTGCTTTCGGATCAGTTTTAAATTATATATTTCATCTACATTATATAAATAATGTTTACTCATCACACTTAAATTTTGTTTGACATAATTAATATATAATTTTTTATATATTCTTTTGACTACTTGTACTTTTTTATTACTTTTTAAATATTTATTATTTAACTATCATATCATTGATTAATCCATTTGACCTAAACCATGACCCAAAAAAAAGTTTATTTTCTAGGTTGACATTAAATTTTGTATTACATTTCCATTATTGATAAAACTGTATCTTATGTATAATATTTATTTTTGTTCATTATAATGAATGAATAATATTATAGACGTACCCAATATTTTATTTTTTATAAATATATAACATTATGTCTTAATTGTGATTCTTTGTATTTTATATTTTTAAAAATTTTATTATCTGACTATGACATCATTTCATTTCTAGGCTAATTTTAATTTTGGCATTCCATTTTCATCATTTATAAAAATACTTCTTACATTTCATACTTTAGTTTGGTATAATGAATATACAATGTTAGTGACGTGCCCGATTCTTTTTATTTTTTTGTATTATATATTTTATTTTTATTATTTAATTATGGCATTATTTATTGATGCATTTTACCCCAAATGGTTGAATTTCTTACCCACCACCGAGAGGGAAGAAAATGGTTTTGTTTTCAAATTATTTTTCAAAATATTTATTTTTATATTATTAAAATTAATGTTGTGGATTTAATTAGTAAAATTTAATGATGAGAAAAATATATCTTAAATTTATGATTAATAAGAGAATATACCTTAGATATGAGATTTAATGAGAGATAATAGGACAATAGTTTTACTTCCAATTGGTTTTAAATTTTACATTCCATTTCCATCATTAATAAAAAAATTTCTTATTTATCATTAATGTTTTCAACCTATCATTAACCTAGCCTATTGAACTGTTCGAACTGTCACTCGGCCTTGATCTTGGGCTTGGTTTTGTTGAAACTCCCTCTTCCAGTTAAAAGGCATGTAACTCGAGCGGTTCAACCATTGCCTCGTTTGACCCGGTAACTAGGTTGCAAGTTGCACAATTAATTATGTGCAAATTTTTGGAAGCCATACTTCATTCCAATGTCTGATTGGGGTTATCTTTTCTTTTTTTTTTGAGCAACTCTTCAAGATCTATACGTCCTAAGGGCCTTAGGCGCCTTGCCTTGCTATTTTCGCGAAAAAACCCCTTTTTTGGCCCCAAATTGCAATTTTTAATATTTTTTATAAATAAAAAATTAAAATCTGAATTAAAAAACATAAATAAATTTAACATAAAACATATATTATATGTAAAACATAATTATAA